TGCAGGTTGAGGAGATCCAGTGTTTGCATAAAGCAGCAGTACACGTGAGTGTGTTAATGGCTGCCAGTGTTTTGTAACTTGTGTGTGATGTTACAGCTGTTTGACGGTAGGCGTCAGCAACCCTCAGTGGACGCCATGTTTGGAGTTTAGGTAGGACTACACATTGACGTCAGGTCTTTCGGTTGAGGGGCGTTATTAGTGAAAGACTTGTATTTATCCTGTTAATGAAAAAAAAACGTTTATGAGAACCACCCTTAGCTTTAAGTCAGACACCTTTTGAATAATACGAACACAGAGTATAAAAAGAAACTAAAAGTTAATCAATCTTTGATAATACTACTACTTTTGTTAATAGTAATTTATTTTACAAAACACGACACATTACATATTAATGCATACATGGAGAGATGAATAATAGGTGAGATCTTTTTTTTCCATTACCCTTTTTTTATCATATGCAATTAATATTTCTGTAATATCTGTATATTTATTTATTTATTTATTTAATCCCATCAGCTTCCGCAAAATGGTCGTTAGTCGTGTATTTATTTATCATCATTATTTATTTAATCATTAGGTTAACTTACTATTCAAAAACAATAGTGGTAACGTTAATATATCTGTAACAAACTGAATCACTTACCAATGTTGACAATTTTTAGATACAACAATCTGAAATAAACGAGTTACTGTTTGCTGTCTAATCTATCACCTGAAACAAAAAGAAAACATAATATTACTGACAACAACAATGTAATTGTGTGAAATGTGTTGTTGTTTACTTTTGTTTGCATGGTTTCTTAGCAGCTATAAACACATCTGCTGACATAATTTACATTTCTGTAGCCTTGTTTCCATATAAGGACTCGGAAGTGAAGGCGGAAACACGTGATTGGCTGTTGTGAAATCTGATTGGCTGCTGCCGGCTCGTTTCGAAAAACGCGTCAGATTTGAGGCGGAGGGAAAGTTTAAAATTGTAGCAACAGGAGCGACGAAACAACAAGAAAGCAGCGAGTTACAATGATCAGACAAGCGTGAGTAGAGTTTAATATGTCTTTACACTGCGCGTAAAATAACGCCAAGTTTCCTAAAAGTATTGTGCTGAAGCGAAATGTCGTTTAACAATTAAACTAGTTACTTGTTCACGGAATCCAAACAACAGAAGACTGGTTAGCTTAGCCACAACGTTAGCCTTTGTTACCGCTTACTGTACTGGAAGGCTAACCGTGCAGCTAACTGAGCTAATGAAAATGAGGATTACCTTCTTTCTTTTTTCTTCAGGAAGGGTAAAACCCCCCGCAGGCCTGCTCCTAAAAAGCCCTCCAGCAACCAGAAAGACCCGGTTGGGGTGAGTTTGTAAAGAATTAGCAAACACAAACTGTAGCGTTCAATGCTTTTCTATGTGATTGTGTATCGATGTTTGACAAGTTGGAGTTTAAAGGCAAAGCTGGCGACTAAAAAGTTACAATGATCACAGAGTAGTAAAGGGATAAACACGTCCTCCTGGAGCACATGTGACCGGTGTACTTTATCTCAGGTTTACTGCCGGGTTCGACCTCTGGGTGTGGAGGACGAGGAGTGCTGCATTGAGGTGATCAGCAGCTCCACCATCCAGCTGCACGCCCCTGAAGGCTTCAAAACAAACAGAAATGGAGAGTACAAAGAGGTAACACGTGTGGTGAACTCTCTTGTTGTCATCGTTTACACAATGGTTGTTGTTGTAAACAAATCCCACGAAAAGACCGAAATCAACTGTAAATTGTTCTTATAAACGAGTATTATCTGTACAAAGTCTGACTTATAGCTTAACCATGTAGCCTAAAACAACATTTCATGTGACAGCTTCCACAATTATGATGAACACTGAGAATGTTGTTTACTTTAAGTCAACCACATGTACACTATCCCACTAACATAAATACTCAGTGTACCACATTTGTATTAATCCGAGTTGATGCACTGTTGGTTCTTGGTTAAATAAGGTTTTCTGAAACCAGGGCCAAGCTATTTTTAAAAATGACTTTGCCTTTTGTACCCATCCATCATGGTGGCAGCAGACCAAGCAAGGTAGACAATGTCCTCCAGCTCTTCGTTAAGGAACATCAAGATGTTCACAGGCCAAGTGGATTATGTAATCCACCCAGTGGGCGACGCGTGCTTTGAACTGAAATGAGCTAGTTCAAGTGGTTTAGGGATGCCTCCCTGTGGAGGCATTGGAGGCATATACAACTGGGAGAAAATGCCATAACAGACCATTTTTGTAAAAGTGAAACCCCCAAAGATTTACTTCTTTAGTAGGAAACAAAAGTTGTGGGTGTCCACATGTCACATAAAGGCTACTGAAAGGCAAAATGGCATGTTGTTAGTCTTTTTAAGTGATTTGTTAACAATATATGATTCCACACTTGTATGTAATGTAATTTATTTCCCCATAATAATACAATTAATATATTTTCCTTCTCAGACACAATATTCCTTCAAAAAAGTATTTGGAGTTTCAATATCTCAGATGGAGCTGTTTGAGCATGTGGCTAAACCTCTTGTCGACGACCTCATTCATGGAAGAAATGGTAAGAGCACTGAAACAGACCCAGAAAGAACCTAACTTATGTATTTCTTTTAAATCATAACCATTTCAACTATAGCCTGATTTGTCTACTTAATATTAGTAATTCTGCTGGATGTCCTCCCACTGAACTTTACTGCATTTATCACGCTCAGGAACCAAGAGCGCTTTAGCTTTGAGGTTATTATTGATTCTCCCTTTTTTCGATTGTTGCAGGTCTGCTCTTTACGTACGGGGTCACAGGAAGTGGAAAGACGTTCACCATGACTGGCTCTCCAGGCCAGGGTGGACTTCTACCTCGTTCACTGGACATGATCTTCAACAGTATAGGACCCTACCAGGCCAAAAGATATGTAAGAGAGAAAACATTCAAGAATGGAGTGGATCATCTCTTGTACTCACGTAATTTATTGATTATTTATGAAATTTTTACATTTATTCATCTAATTTCAAACCTGCTGTGTTTTTTTTTTTTTTTTTTTTTTTTTTTTTTTTTTCAGGTTTTCAAGACAGATGACAAAAATGGTATGGAGGTCCAGAATGAAGTTGATGCTTTGTTGGAGCGCCAAAGGCGGGAAAACAATGTGTCTGTTCCTAAAACACCCTCCTCCAGGTAAATCTGAGTCCTGTGAAATACCAGTATTGTGCTACAGTGTAACTGATGGATAACAAGACGGCCACTTCCTTGATTTCAGACAAAAGATTGATCCTGAAATTGCTGACATGATTAAGCCAGAGGAGGCTTATAAAGCAGATGGTGTGGACGAGGACAGCAGCTACAGCGTCTTCGTCTCCTACATAGAAATTTACAATAACTACATCTATGATCTCCTGGAGGAAACTCAGGAGGATGCAATCAAACCGAAGTGAGTCCAGGAAGTGTTAAAGGAACATAATTCAGATATATAATGTTATGTTTTAGCAGGCGGATTTTAATATTTTATATTTAGAGTGTAGTGGTTTTTAGAGCCGACTACTTTCTGTCAGAGTAGCTGAAGACAAAATTATTGTCTTTTCTTTTTACTAGGTGGAATGGTGGAGGCACACCTGTGCGCCAGAACACTGAGTTCATGTATGTGACCAGTGAATACTCGTACATCAGACATCAGACTAGTAGCCTGATTTTAGATGAACTTTCCCTTCCCACACAAATGAGCAGTTTAGATTGTAAGTGGGACCGTGTCAACTCTGGAGACATTTTCAAACTTAACAAAGGTTTAAAGTTCTCACAACAACTAAGAAGTTACCTAGCGGTAGGACCGGGTATCGTTTGGAATATTTCATTATACTAGCACTAAATATATGAAAAAGATCCCTTCAGATACCAAAACAGTACTTTATTTTATTTAAGGATCACCAATCGAAGGAATAATGTATTAAAGTGACTAGACCTCTTTCTAACACGGTCTGAATATAAACATGTTTTTTGCTAAAGAACCTTTTTTATATAACAAATAAAAAGCCCAAAATAACTGCAATAATTAGTTAGTAACAATCTGTAAACCGATAATCTATTTTCATAGTTGATTGATTATGTGTTTGTTTGTTTTCTTTTGTTTAAGCAAAATGCCGGTATTCTCTAGTTCCCACATGTCCATTAGTAAACTGAATATATTAAAGCTTTGGACTGTTGGTCAGGCCTTTTGGGATTTGTAATGGGATTTTTTTTTTTTTGTATTTTCAGTTTATAGATCAAATGATTAAATAATTAATCGACAAAACAATGGCCAAATTAATCAGTAATGAAAATATCATTAGTTTTTAAAATATTAAAACGCAGTCAAACAAGAACATTGTCTGAATAAAATCCACTCAAATTGGCAAAATTACTACTGAAATCTAATGGTTCGATTAAACGTAAGTCAAAAGTATGAATCTGAGTGAGCATTCAAGGCCAGATTTTGGTACTCAAATAGGATCAATGCCTAGGTTCGTTACCCAGCCCTACCCAAGAGTTGACTGACTGCTGCTGATTGCAGGCTATACCAGTTAATGTCTCCAGTGTTGACGAGCGTTCCTTTTAGTCCTAAGACCCTGCTGCTGCTTGTAGTCTTTGTTCTGGCAAAGCTCCTTAATGTCCTTTTTTAAACCTGCTGTCTGCTGCTTTACACGCTTCATGATTGTAACTGATTATCTTCCATGGCTGGACTCAAGCATCCTTAATACCCCTCCTCCAAAATGTTTGATTCTCCCCATCTGTTGCATGAAAATGCACTTTCATATCTTCAGTGACTAACACTTTTTTTTTTCCAATGTAGACCACCTCAATCAAAAATCCTCAGAGAGGATCAGAATCATAACATGTATGTGGCTGGTTGTATGGAGGTCGAAGTCAAATCTGCTGAGGAGGCCTTTCAAGTATTCTGGAGAGGTGAGATGTTGTAAGCTCTACATTTAGAAGCAGAAGAGTCATTAAGGTAATGAAGGAAGAATACTGCACTGATGATTGTAGATGTGACTGACCTGGCACTGCTGATCTCCGGGTCGGCTTTGGCCAGGAAATGATCTCGTTAATCTTCTCTCTGAGCAGGTTTTGTAAGAGTTGATTGTATCAGTTGGAGATTGTGCCCAATAGTTTAGTGGAAAATCGTGTTAAGATGCTATCTGTGAATAAACCTGTTACTCTATTGTTCCAGGTCAGAAGAAGAGGAAGGTTGCGAACACCCGCCTGAACAGAGAGTCCAGTCGCTCCCACAGTGTGCTCATTATTAAACTGGCTCAGGCGCCTCTCGATGCAGACGGCGACAACATTCTCCAGGTCCGTTGAAACTGAAACCACATCTCTGGTCTCACAGTTGTAGTCCTGTAATTCATATTTAGATGAATTAAAGCGTCAGTTTGGATATTTAAGTATTTTCTGATCTTGTTTGCCAGGATAAAAGCCAGGTGGCTGTTAGTCAGCTGTGCCTGGTAGACCTGGCAGGAAGTGAACGCACTGGTAGAACCGGGGCTGAAGGAACCCGAATACGCGAAGCAGGTTTGTTAGCCAAACATCAACATTTTGGTTTATTTGTAGCTGAAGTTCATTTGAGATTAAACTAATTTCTTACCGTGCAGGTAACATTAATCAATCTTTGCTGAATCTGCGGACGTGCATCGAGGTACTTCGAGAGAACCAGATGTGCGGCACAAACAGGGTATGAATTATTACTAAAGGCGAACACTGTCATTATATTAACTGATGAGCCGTGTAGGTAATGTTAGTTCTCTCTTATAGATGGTCCCCTACAGAGACTCCAAAGTAACCCATCTGTTCAAGAACTACTTTGATGGAGAGGGCAAAGTCAGGATGGTTGTTTGTGTTAATCCCAAGGCCGACGACTACGAGGAAACGTTGGTAAGTTCATTCTGCACTTTAACTGCCTTCATTAGTTTACTTTAAAAGAACTCCGGAGTCACTTTGTCTGACACACACGACACGCTCTGTTTGTCCAGCTGGTGATGCGGTTTGCGGAGATGACCCAGGAGGTGGAAGTGGCTCGGCCAGTGGACAGGCCCATCTGCGGCTTCACCCCGGGCCGTCGCCATAGAAACCAGGCATTTAAAGAGGAACTGTCTCGCAAGCTTGAGGAGCGTGGCGGCCCGATAGACAGAGGTAAAAAAACAAATCTCCTATACATGACTGAGGTTAATTATGACCCTTTATTAGAATACCGTGTTGGCCCAAATGTAAGACAACTCTGATTATTGGAGTAATAAACTATAAATGAGAAAACTCTTGTTTATTAAATATAGTCAATCAATAAAAACAAAATAATAATAATTATTTAAATAAAACAACAAACCTGTCAAACTATAGCTCCTTTTGAGGATCAAACATATACATAATGACACTATTCCTCAAATGTAGTAGTAGTAGTTTAGAGGAATTTATCTTTTTATCTTTGTCTATATTTGTACATGTGGAATATTTTATACATTCACAAATACAGTTTTTAGCCGTGTTAAGAGTTAATTCTCTGTTTCCTTAGACATGCCCTCTGTAATAAGCCACCTGGTGCACAACCTCCCACCTCTACCCTCCTCTGAGCTGACTGACCCTCATGATGACATCACCCTGCCCAGGCTGATTGAAGCTCTGCAGAACAGACACACGATCAGGCAGATGATGATTGAAGAATACAGCAAAGCAGGTGCCCGCTCATATTCTAGCTCAATCGTCAACTCTTGGCTTTGACGGTTCAGGTTACTTGAAAGGTTGGATTTCTTATCTTGGCTCACACTTTCTCTCCCTTCATATTGTTTTAGCTGACATGATGAAGTCCATGCTTCAGCAACTGGACAGCAACCTCGTTTCCAATGACAATTTTATTCATGAACAAAACGGCAAACTCGTAGAGAAAGACAAAATCATCCAGAACAACAAGACAGAGATCGAACGCTTGGAGAAGAGAAGCAGAATGCAAGAACACAAGGTGAGAGACCAAATTCAATCCGGTCCAATTTCCCCAGAGATTGCTGGTTTGTAGGTGTGTTGCTCAGTTATTTAAATGTCCCATATGGTTCTGTCCTAGATTGACATCCTGCAGAAAACGACTAAAATCTATGAGGACGACAAGCGTTCGCTGCGGCACGAACTGGAAACCAGAGAGCAGAGGCTGCAGAGGGAGCTGTCTGACAAGAGACGCATGGAGCAGCGCATGCACGGCGTCGTCACAGACACCCAGTACAAGTGGGAGAAAGAATGTGTGAGTTTACTCCTCTTATTGCGCAGATGCTTAATTAAATGATTCGTTTGTACAAATGATCGTTTGAGGCATGACAGTCGGTGGCGTTGCACTCACACATTATGCCTCTTGCCATGCAGGACAGACGTGTTAATGCGATGCAGCTGGAGATGCAAAACAAGCTCTGGGTGAAAGACGAGAAGCTGAAGCAACTCAAGGCCATTGTCACAGAGAGCAAGACCCCAGGGGGGCGTCCTGATCCTCCACCGCGTCAGACGCAGCCCATACGGCCATCCAGAGAGGAACGCCTCCCCGCAAAGAGATCAGCTTCTCCCTCGCCTGTCCCTGTACGTTGTGTTGATGCACATCTAGAACACCTGTCCAGCTCTTATGTTACTACATATTGTTAAATGGCATGACAGTGGTAGTTTAACAGGACTGGACTAACATCACTAATCCCCCATCTGATGGCAGTAGTAAAACCTGTACTTTTTTTTTTATTTTATTTTTTATAATTACTTACTATTCATCATTTCTGTTCATGCATGTAATTGTACACACTTTCCACTTTGCTCTCCAGTGCCGAGTTGATTCTCCCCAAGTCAGGCCAGGGCCAGTCAGCCCCACTAGAGTTGAGGAGGTTGAAAAGAATGCAAGTCCCGCCTGCCCTGTTCCCAGCCCCAGTATCTCTTTGCCTGTGTCGGCGGCCCAGGACAGCAGGCAGGGTTACCATTCTCCTAGTACGCCCATGAGAACCCAGGCCCCGGCAAGACCCTCAGCTAGTCGGGCCACGAGGATAACTGCGTGTTGGACTAGAGAGGAAGAGGGGGCCAGCCCCCCTACAATGGATCTAGACTTAATTGAGAGAAGCTACAGGGTCAGTGAGTTGGCAACAGGCAGCAGCATGAGGTTGAATAGTGAAAACTGGTGTCTCTAATTAGGGTTTTAGGTTTTATCCAGCTATTTTCCCCAAATATACATCCCCAGCCATTTACCAGTTTCATTACTGATATCTTTGTCAAGATCTGATGTAATCATTTGGCCTATTTTTATGTATGTGTTTTTAATTTTTCCATTGCCTAACCCACTCTGCAGACAACAACACCAGTGCGGCCGCTGCACCGTCGCTCCCGCTCTGCTGGCGGGGAGAAGTGGGTGGACCACAAGCCCTCCTCCAGCATGGACTTGGGTACGGTTTTGCAGCCTGTCATCCCCAATTCCATCCAAGTGTCTGCACCCAGCGAGAAGGCCTTGTCAAAGTGCGACAGATATGTGTTAACACACCAGGAAGTTGCCTCTGACGGTGAAATACAGACCAAACTTATTAAGGTAAGCACGATGCAGCAAGATATTTCACCATTTGCAGGGTGAACGAGTGTGAACTTGAATTTGGCATTATGCCTGTCACCGTTTTGTTTTTTGCACTCATGAAGTGTGCCTAGTTATCTATAGCAGGGTGGCAATGGTGGCCTGGCAACACACTTTATTGTATTACAGATAAAAAGTACATTAAAATGTTTCTGAAAACATTGTAGGGTGAGAAATGGGCAATGCAGTAACAGCCTCGATTCATATTTGATCAGCACTGGCGAGTTTTACAGTTTGATCTGAGTTATTGCGTTGTGCTGGACCGACTCACTGACACTGACGAGCCCTAAAACATACCCTATTGTCTATTTTATGTCCATAATTTACTAAATGAACATCATGTTGTATAAAAGAAGACTTGAAACTAGCAACCTACCTAATAAATGCATGAAAATATAATATAAATGATATAAGCGGGATAATGCCCTTTTGAGGTGTCCATAATCAGGAACCATGTAAAAGCAGCCCATTTCATGTCTGATATTAAAGGCATACTATGCAGTTTTCCGGGTTTGTCAAACAGCTACCCCTAGAGTCGCTGCGGAGTACTTGTATTTAACGTTAACTGTTGTAAATACCACTCACCAGAGCCGTCTCTATATACGGCTCTGCATCTCTGCACTCACGGCCCGATCCCATTGAGGCTGCTTCTTATGTCGTTGATGTATGTGCTGATACTGATCCTTTGGTTAATGGATCGAAGGCAAGCGCCAGATCAATAAAGTTTGTATCAGGTGCGTTGGGAAAGTGGGACATTTGAGACTGTACAAGTATCTGATCTGTAAATGTCTAAAGAACAGGCAGCTTAAAGCTCCCAGACAGCTGATCCAATGAGGCAAAGCAGTGATTTCACAACGTCTGTATTTCAGCTGACATGAGTAACACCAGACAATTACAGGATTTTCACTTTGGATGAACTACTAGTTGAAGCTGGCTATTCCCTCATACTTTCCCTCATAATTTTTCAGGGTGAGGTGATTAAAACCAGAGGAGGAGGACAGGCCGTCCAGTTCACCGACATCGAGACCCTGAAACAGGAGCTCACCACAGTCCCAAGGTAACAGCCTACCGCCAGTTATTAGCTGCGGATTAGCTGCATGTTTTAGATTGTTTTAAATTCTTCCATTTATATTTGTGTCCAAAGAAAAAGAAAATCCTCAGAAGGCAAAAATGGAGGTCGAACAGATGGAGATTGGACTGATGTGGAGACGAGGGTAAAATAATATTGATTATAAACTACCATTAAAGTACCATTGCATGTGTGTCTCTGTTTAGAGAGCAAACGGATGATGTAATGAATTATTTTAATGATTATCTGCTGATTATTTTCTCCATTAATCAATGAAAACTTTGGTTTATAAAATGTCATCAAATTGCTTGTTTTGGATTGTTTGTGAGACGAGATGTGATTATATCTTTAACTCAGATAGATAGATACTTTATTTATCCCGAGGGAAATTCAATCTGTAACTTTTTGATATCTGTGGGGTTTCCT